CAATGTGGCCAAGGCAATGTGTGTGCAGTTTCTGAAAATGCCAGTACCCCGCTGTCTTGACTGTGACTTAGCCTATCACGTAAAAGTAAAGTAAGAGGGTTGTTAAGAGAAGCTTTCCTTTTGCTAGCCGCTTTGGTTTATCCCCCGCCAGTCGCCTGGGCTCTGCCGCGCCAGCCTGGTTCTAGATCCGCATGAGTCCCAAATAAACACACAGGAGGCTATATTAATTATGAAGCTGTTGGCCTTGTTTGTCTCTTACTGGCTAGCTCTGCCTTAAGTAATTACCCCATAATTGTTAATCTAAGTATGTCTCTTACCGGAGAATAGTTCCAGGCTTCCTACCCCCAATGCCGTTACATGTTGACTCTCTTGTGTTTCTCCTACCCAAAATCCTCCTGGATTCCTAGCCCCACCTATCTAGATTCCTATTGGCCAGACAGTGCTTTATTAGCATAAGACTTCCCCAACATCTCCTCTTTTCTGTTTAAACAAAAAGAAAGGTCTTAACTTTAACACAGTCAAATTGTATATAACAGAACAGTTATCAAATAAGAATATAGTTACAATATTTTAGCAAGATTTAAAGAAAATATCATCCATACCATCCTTGTGAGTTCAAAGTTCTATATGTAACTTTTATCATAACTAAGGAAAACTATAATTATAACTATCTTCTTCAACTCCATCAAAGACCACAGAAGGATAATATATAAACACTAGGATTAACAGAGACATCTTACTGCCTGGACAGTCACCCGAAGTTAGGGAAAGACTGACGTGTGTCCTTAAATACAATAACTCTTCATCAATTTCTATTTTGTGGAGACAGGGATTTCACATGTCAGTGTAAATGCAAAAGGTAGAAAGGTAGCCCAGGGGGAGGGAAGGACAGGAGTGGAACCTCATGATCAGTCAGGGTGGGCACGAAGGAAAGGAAGAAACCTGAATTCTGTCTTAGACGTGAATTTGCTAGGGCGGAGAAATGGTGTCGACGAAATCTCTGTGTGTTTGCTCATCTATGAATCTTTCTACTGCTTCAGGATGGAAGGGACTGAGCCTTTCTCCCACCATCGCTCTTTCTCCAATTCCTTGTGCGTGTTTGGAGAGAGGTAACCCCAGTTGCTTCTTCGTCTGAAAGCAGCATCTTTGGTACCCATGGCCACTTTAGATGACTGAACTACGGGGAGATGATGTGGTATGAAGACTAATGGATATTGTAGATGACTAGCTGGGATGAGTGACCCCCAAATTCCTCTTTCCAAGCAATCGTAGAGGCAACGTAAGCAGTTGGTGGTGTGTTTTTAACCAGTCAAGCATCAGCAAACAACGGTGTGTTGCTGGAAGCCAAGAGCGGTCTTGGCGTCTCCTGATGACAAGAAAAAGAACAGAATACCTTAAGGACTTGCTCAGATCCCAAGAAAGCATATGGATCCCAAATGGCCCAATCACAGTAAGGAATGACTCTTGGGTCCTGTTTGAGATGATTATCTTTTATGTTTTCCCCAATAGATCACTTTTGTTTTTTTTTTAAAGACTATAGCATGGCATCTGTGCTGTTTCCTTGGACGACACGTATTTTCTCATGCGTGTTGTTGGTTTGACTCCACTGTCAGCTTCGAGGGATGAGTGTGTGACTCGGGCCTGGGTAATCAGCATATTTCTGACATAGCTTAAGACAAGTCAATAAAAGATAGGTCTTTGCTACAGCATGAAGAGAGCCTGTCTGAAAATGAAGTCAATGTTAAAGAGAGCAGGCCGGGAGGTGAGATGTGATCATGAGAATGCAGTACTCCATCTTCTGAGGCCAGCAGCGCCTGCAGCTAGGTTACCAGTGGCAAGGCTTCCTGGCAGGGTGGCTTTCTAGAGCACTGTCCCTTCTGCTTACTTCATTCTGACTTGCATTCTTTTTAGGAAAGTCAAGCATGAGGTATGAGGTCTGGCTGCATTTCCCTGAGGTCAAAACTCTCTTGGGAGTCTAGTATTTTCTACCCTCTATTCATTCCCTGATGTTAAAATTTTCACTTGTGCAGATAAGGAAGTGCCTCTTACCCTTACATCCAAGAATCTACTACTTTGTAAGTGGTGTTGTGTTGAGTTCCCTCAAGTGGGCTTGCCAGAGCACACATGGAATTTAGTAAATAAAAAAGGGTGGTCACAGTGAGCACGGGAATAGGTTCAAGCCCTAGGTCTGATATCAAACAAACCCAAGCAAGCTGTTTGACCTTGGATGAGCCACTAATCTCTGGGTTTCTGGGGTTTACCTTGCTAGTTTGTTTTTATTTTCTTTTCATCGTTTTATTTAGATTTATTTATTTATTTATTTATTTATTTATTTATTTATTTATTTATTTATTGCCTGTATGTAGGTCTGTGCACTACATGTGTGGTATGCCTTGGAGCCTGGAAGAGAGGATGCTAGATGCCCAGAGGCTGAACAGACGTTTGTGAGCAACCATGTCGGTGCCGGGGATGGAGTCCAGGTCCCTTGCAAAAACAGTCAGTGCTCTTAACTGCTGAGAACCAACTCTTACGCCTTCTGGGTGGGTCCTCTCTCTCTCTCTCTCTCTCTCTCTCTCTCTCTCTCTCTCTCTCTCTCTCTCTCTCTCCCTCTGTCCCTCTTACCCTCTGTCCCTCTTTCTCCCTCTGTCCCTCTTTCTCCCTCTGTCTCTCTCTCTCCCTCTCTGTCCCTCCCTCTCCCTCTGTCCCTCTGTCCCCCTCTCTCCCTCTGTCCCTCTCTCTCTCTCTCTCTCTCTCTCTCCATCTCTCTCTCTCTCTCTCTCTCTCGTCAAATGTGAGCTAAAGAACATTAATAACGGTAGTATGTATCTGTGTAACTATTTAACAATCCCCCCACTTGGCTTCAGAATCACTGCGTAGCTGAAGGTGACCTTCATTCAGTGCTGGGTCCTCCTGCTGCCTCCCTTTGCTACGTGCTAGGATTGTTAAGTGTGTGACATCATGCACAACCTACTAAACCACATCTAAAATGATTCTCGTTACGTCAGATTATTGGCGTCACAAGCATTTTCTTTACAGTTCCTCCCATCCGTGACCGTCAGTGCTTCACAAGATCACGTTGTTTCGTAGAAACGCCAGTGATCAGCTCTTGAGTGCGTCATGAATCTATCATTTCCGAGGTCTGCACCTATCCACTCACCTACCACCAAGCATCTCTTCACTTGCTCAATAAATGTTTCTCTTTTGCATCATGCTATATATTGGGCAATGTGCTTAAAGGTCATGGTTCTCCCCTGCAGCGTATGAGTGACACCATAAAAGAGGTCACAGACACGCAATGCCACTCATTAAGTGAACACACTAATACATAATTTTAAAAACCTTGATAATGCTGTAAAGGCCTTGACAGCATACGGCATGGAGTCTTTGTCTGGTTGGCGGAACAAAGACGGGCCTTCCAAAGAGGCGTGAGCTCAAGTTGCCTGCACCGATGGGTTGGGTGAGGATGGTGTCAGACGCTGTGTTGGACCTGCCTTCTGGTGGAAAGATACTTTGTAAGTTATTTCCCAAAACTCTTGGTAGAGAAAAACAGCATCATTTCCTCTGTGGGAAAGAAGGAATTCAGACACATGATCTCAGAGAAGGGTCTGCTGATTCACCCAGGACTTCGCCTGTGCAGATTTCTCTAGCTCCTTTAATTTCATACCTTGAGAGAGACACTTGACTTCCCTGGGTCTCAGATTGCTCATCCATAAAACACGAGGCTATAGTTTTATTTTTATGATTTTAAAGGTCTCTCTCATATTCAGCATTCCTTGTTTCTAGAAATAAACTGGAGTTTAGCCAGGGAGGGGCACAAGTCCTACAAAGCAGACTTGCAGCTTTATTTGAGAACCAAAAATCAGCTTGCATTCAGAGTACCAAAAAGAAAGTCACAGAGAGGGTAGTTATTGAAATGCATGTTGGATGGAGCCAAAAATAGCTAATGCATCGACAGTTAATGCAGGGAAACTGAGATGGAGCGTTTCCTTGGCAACCGAGTAACTCAAAGGTAAAGTAGCTGGGTTTGATCAAAGACTGGTTTCTTCACTTCTCTACTCTCTATGGGTTTTAATTTTATCATAATTCAGTATAAAGGGGAAAACGGTTGACAAATCCATTTCACTGGAAACAAAGGTCACTATCCCCCCCACCCCGCCTCCCCAAAAAAGAAAAGACCAATCCAGTTGAACCAAACAAGCAAACCTTCTACCAGGAAAAGGATGGTCGCCCTGTGTGCCCTTGAAGGCAGTCACATGGCCTAGGACACTGGCTCCTTCAAGCTGCTAGATTATTTGGGAGAATCGACACTGAAATTCACATGAATCTGACATCTGTCAATCTGGATGTAAAGCTTTGGATTTCAAGCCACAGTCAGCTCCTTGCAGAGAAGGAGAAAGGACAATGGCTGCAGTTTCTTAGCATGCACAGTCAATACTGCAGAGGTTGCTAGGCAACAGCAGAAAGGCTGTCAAACATCCCCTGGTGCATCCAACGGAATAGGAAGGAGCAACCCAAGCCACTGCAGAGAGGTGAGAGGCTGCGCAGCCCTGGAAGATGTGCTCGGTTTGACATCGCTTAAAAAGGGAGACACAAAACATAGATCCTTTTGTCACGGTCAGAGTGGAGTGATGGACATCTTCCTCCGGGAGTAGTTTAGTTCTGAATACATTTGCAACTGGACCAAATCCCTACAAGCCAGTGTGCCCAGGCTGCAGGGGGGTTCTGCTCAAGGTCTGCAATTATTCTGACCTGATTCACAACAGAGCTCACAAAGACACAAACTCTGAGTGCCAGAGAGTCGTCATGGTGCCCTGACTGAAGCCTGGGTTATAGTAGGTTTTAACAAACATGTTTTTTTTCCCATTTGTTTTTCCAAGACAGTGTTTCTCTATATTGCTTTGGAGGTTGTCCTGGAACTCACTCTGTAGACTAACCAGGCTGGCCTCAAACTCACAGAGATTTGCCTGCCTCTGCCTCCCGAGTGCTGGAATTAAAGGCGTGAGCCACCAACGCCCCGGCTAACAAACATTCTTACTTAAGGTCATTGTTACGAAACTCCTTGGGCCTGTGGTCGTGGGGTAGGAGTAAAATTTTAATCTGCATTTCCTTTGTCCTTCTTATTTCAGGTGACAATTTCGTTTTATCTCCAAGTAGACCGGCAAAGAGAAGTCAGGATCTGACAAAGGGGTCAAGTAAGTACCTTTCCATTTGAACCCCCTAGCAGCGGCGTTTAATGAGCAAACATTGATCGCGGGTCATCAGTTTACACAAACGTCCTTGGCAAAGCCGGAAGACACATGAAGAATGGGAGCTAAGTCTGATTGGAGGAATTTGAGCTGTAGTTAGGACTTCAGCAAGAGGAGGGGCTGACTGACTAAGCTAATGGAAGGAGACCCACACGAAGCACGCTGTGAACACGGGAGCAGGCCAGCAAGTGGTCTTCTGAAGCCCGGCCGAGATTGGCCAGGGTGGGTGAAGACCTACCTGAGAACAAGCAGTTGATCCCTCACTGTGAGTAGACCGGGCCAGCCACTTGCTTTGTGTGTACGTGTGTGCGTGCGTGCATGCGTGCGTGCGTGCGTACGTGTGTGTGTGTGTGTGTGTGTGTGTGTGTGTGTGTGTGTGTGTGTCTGCTCAAAAGGGATCTGGGTGCACAAGCCTCGAATCCACTGGATTTAGCCACACGGTACCTTTCCTTACAGGCATTGCAAGGGTACAGAGAAGAAGCCAGAACAAGGCAGGGACGAGAGACCAGAGTTACTGGAAACACTGCTGGATGCCAGCATATCTGGCCAAGGTCTGTCAGCCATCCCACACAGCCCTTTAGAAACCCCTGGTCATCCAGGATTTTCACATACTTGGGGGGGGTGTCACGTGTACACCACTGTGATGTGAACTCAGGGTTGAATCCTTGTCCAGGCTTCCTGACTGGCTGCCAAATAGAGTGTAACACACACATCCAGTATGGGCTAAAGTCTTCACTTTGCTCATTTGATACAAACGGCTCCGTTAAGGACAGACACTCCCCTGTGACTCTCCCAGCCTCAACACTTGCTCCTCCATAAAGCTGCAAAAAATAGCAATGCATTTGGTCTCATGTATCCCCCAGAGGTAAAGAAGATTGAAGAAGAAAAGCAGAAACTAGAGCTAAGATGCTGCCAAATGCCCCGAATGCCATGTGAAAAAAAAAAAAAAGGGAAACTTTGTCAACAGACAGCAGAAAAGAGGTAAGAAGAGGAGTGGGAATGAATGACCTCCACCAGGCGCCATGGCCCTTCCTGGGCCAGCGTCTAGCCCATCAGGCCTCACATCTCTTTAGAACAGCCCCCTCCTTTCTCGAGCTTCCATCCATTTTCCTATATTGAAGACATAATGTATATTTGACAGCTGATACTTTCTAGAGTCGTTGGCCCTTTAGCCGTTGAAATGCGTGGCTCTTGGGGGGGGGATTCTGAGAGTTTAAGAGCATCATGGTAGAAACCCTGCATTCGCTAAGGTACTAGAATCTAAAGGAGATGCCACCATACTTCTTGGTGGAATTACGTCTATGCTGTAAAACAGTACTCTGTGGCTTCAGACAGCTTGGAAGGGACAAGTATAGATGGCACATAGGAAAAAAAAAGACAGTGCAACAGAGTCAATATTCCCTCCTTCTAGAATCTAGAAAAATGTAACAGATCCCCAGTAGTGGAGACACCACCATCCGGAGTCAGAGGAGAGGGGCTTGCACTGTAGCCTGGCTGGTTGAATTCTGTTTGATCCCATTGACCTGGATCGAGTGTTTTGTTAGTAAAACTTTAAAAAAAATCTTGGATCTAGTTGTGGCCTGCAAACTGGGTGGCTGCCCCCCCCAGAATCACTTCTGACAGACAGTTGAATGCGCCCCAAGGGTCCTTCTGACTACTCATGTGGGTGAAAGAATCTAAAACGTGTGTACCGTTGAAGACACAGTGCACTCCCAGATTGGTCACTAAAATACAACAAAGCTAAACCCCCACACTTTAGTGAGACCGTGAACAAGGAGATATTCAGGAATGTTCCTTACCTTTACGGCTACCAAGATCTTATCCTGCTCAGGACAGAGGTTGTAGCATTCTGCGAGGAAAACTTTCCCGAAGGCGCCTTCACCAAGCTCCCTCTTCAGAACGATGTTGTGTCTCTTGATGTGTTGAACAACTGTAAAACCAAAACACTTGTCACTCAACGGCATCTGTAAGATTTGTCACACCCTGTGTCTATTCCCTTCCCTTCTTCTCTTTTACTGTGTTTGGTGGAGGAACCACACCATCTGGGCCCTCGTAAGCAGCAGGGCTCCTATAGGGCTCCTTCGTGGATGCAACTTTTCATAAAACACTAGTGGTGATCAAGGTTTTGATGGGAATCATCCTCTCCAGTAATTCACCTTTCTGATCTCTGTGAGCCTTGAGGACTCCGGGAAGAGCTGTTCGTGAGTAAAAGGACACAGAGTAACATTCAGTGTGCTCGAAGCAGCAGCTGGACTTCAGGGGAGAGTCCATTAGGAGAGCGCCCTGTGAAGTCAAGGTCTGCCCAACTTAAGTCTTGACTTTGCTCCGTGGCTGTCAAATCCTCATCGGGAATTAAGCTGCCACTTTGTTCACTTCACACTCCAGTAAGACCCGGGCAAGCAATTTTGAGATCTGATTAACACATTAATTATTTTTCAAACAGGAGGGATGCTGGTGGCAGGGCGGTTAAATCCATAATTAATTTTATTGTCTTCAAAACTACTGTTGAAGACAGTTTTCCAGTGTAGAAATTAAAAGCAGAAGACAGACCTTCTCTTTAGGAAAAGGGCAGCAGTATTAGCTGACTTTGTTGTGATCTGGGGCATAGATTATCTGAAAATGTCCTTTGCCAATGTATTACCTCCAAACACAGTAGATATCTCGTTTATACTTTGGGTCACAAAGATTTTGTGATTGTCAATAAAGTCTACATACTAAATATTACTGAAGGATCTCGTTTCACAAGTTTGATGACACTCTCAGTTAACTAAAGCAATAGTACTAAATATGTATGCAACAAAGCAGTCCAATTCTCTGAAAGTCCAAGAATGGGAGAAAAAACAAACAAACAAACGACACATCAACAACAACAGAAAAGCCGCAGTCCGAAGTTTCCACACTATTGAGCTAGTAAGAGATTCTTGCCATGTTCCTCCGTGAAAACATCAGGTAAGTATCCTAATTTGCTTCACTAAGCCCCGCCCATCGCGAAGCCCCGCCCACGGAGCTTGCCACCCCAGCAGCGCTCTTTTTCCAGCCAGTGCTCAACCCTTGCAGTCCCTGTGCAATTCTCACATCAATGTCTGCAATTCCGCAAGCTTCCAGCAGCACCTAGGCTTTGTAGCCTTCTCAGATGAAGGCCACTCCCTGGCTCCTCCCAGCAGCTCAACACCCTCGTGGCTGCTTCGCCTGCATCCTGCTACAGTAGAGCCCCAGCTGTTCTGAAGCTTCTCTTGCATCCCCTCCGCCCCGTCCTTGGCTGACATCTTGAATTCTCCACTCGCCCAACCAAACCCCTGCCTCACGTTGTCTCTCTCGGGTCTCGGAGCTCTGGGAACGGAATGATTCCGAGACTTGCCTGAGCTCCAGGCGTACACCAGGCTGCTTGTGTTTTGGTGGTGAGGAGTTCACAGGCACAGAGAGACTTGGTTTAGCTCTTGGCTAGACCGTGAACTCAAAGTTCCTGGGAATGGGGGCCTCTCAGGAAGGAAGGCGCTTCACCTGGGTCCCATCCCCCTTTCACCCCATTCTCCTGAAAGGCCCTGTGATCGCTTGACTTGTTTCCCCTCAAGATATCCCAGTGGGGCAAGCCACAGACTCCACGATGAGTAAGTAAGAGTGATGGGGGAAGTCCTGTGTATATATCAATAAAGCACTGTTGGCCAATAGGGAAGCAAGGTAGGTGGGACTAGGAGTCCAGGAGGACTCTGGGTAGGAGAAACACAGGGAGTCAAGATGTAACCACCATAGGGATAAGAAGCCCAGAAACTTCTCCGGCAAGAGACATACTTAGATTAACAATTATGGGATAAATATTTAAGTCAGAGCTAGCCAGTAAGACACAAGCAAAGCCAACAGCTTCATAAATGTCTTGTATGTTATTTGGGGACTACAACTCGTCACAGCTCAGGTGACTGGTGGGGAAAAAACCAAGCTGCAGACAAGGAAAAGGCTTCACTCAACATAAGGGTCCATCGTGTAAGCAGGGAGAATCTTCACCTGCTTCCTTCCTCTAAGGTCGGTTACCCTCTTCTTTTCACTTTGGAAACTTGAGAAAAACCACTGCTAAATCAACATTGAAGATTAAGTGAGGGTCAGTTAGATGCCCCGGAGGGTAAGACCAAGCCTGACAGCTGAGTCTGATTCCTTCAGCCCACATGGTGGGAAGCACAGAGCTGACTCCTGTGTGCTGTCCTCTGCCAGACACACACACACACACACACACACACACACACATACACACACACACACACACACACACACACACGTTAATTAGTAATGAAAAATATCAATGATTAAGATTCCCATCTCCCGCCAGGCGTTGGTGTTGCATGCCTTTAATCCCAGCACTCGTGAGGCAGAGGCAGGCAGATCTCTCTGAGTTCGAGGCCAGCCTGGTCTACAGAGCAAGTTCTAGGACAGCCTCCAAAGCCACAGAGAAACCCTGTCTCGAAAAACTAAAAAAAAAAAAAAAAAAAAGATTCCCAACTCCCTCATAAACGGCTCCCTCTGTTTGAAGGAAACTGTGAGACAATAGTTGGCTCTGCTAGGTTTTCTTTGAAATTTATACGGTTCCTGTGCCCTCACTCCACTCCCCTGTCCCCAAGGAGATATCATTGATGGAATTTTCCAGACTGGAAATTTGGCGTCCTTGGTCATTTGCCTCGTGAGCAGTAGAAAGGAGACAATTTTCAGTATTACATTGCAATCATATTATCGGCAGTGAAAATAATGCATTGGGTCACAAAGTGGCTGTCCCGGCTTAACTTGCAAGCTGCCTCAAAAAACATTTAAATTCAATTCTTGGTATGGATCCCCCCTCCCCCAGAAGTAAAAATGCTATGCACACACAAAGGCAATAAAGTATCAATCCATGTCCATATCCATTATTACTGAATCTAAAACTAATAAAGATATAAATAACTACAGCTCTATCCACTTAAGGTCTCAAGCAGGAAATGTGTCTTCCCCATTTCCAGGATAATGACATTTCGTAGAAACCTTGGCCCCATGGACGCAGCCTGCCTAGCACGTGGGTCTTTAAGTGAACTCTATTGAGTGTCCTGCTCATGCCAAGAACTAAGCAGCCTGATGTTTCCTTTTTTTTTTTTTTTTGGAAAACAGTGTTTATAGTTCTGGGGAGGAAGCTGCGGAACGGGGGGACTCTAACCCTCCTGTCTACCCGCAGTCCCAGGGTCCGGTCTACTCTCGCAGTGGCGTTTGTAGACCGATCTTTGTGGTATCAGGCAGACTTCACCACCATCAAGATCACCCCCTGCTGACGTTGCAGTGAAATAAACGGTTCACTGGGGACGATTCTTTCTACTGGAACACTTCAGACCTCCACATTGGCCACCCGTCTGTAAGCGTCTGAACACCTCATGATGTTAGAACACCTCATGATGTTACTTTATTAGGAAACTGACGAGCAAACACGAAACACGACAGTGGAGGGTGAAATAGGCTGTCATGCGATTGACAACAGTTGGGTGCTAACACTGTCTCAGTCCGCAGCAGGACGTGGAGCCGGGAAAATGTGCCCAGCTTTCGGAAGTCGGTTTGTATGAAGATGGAAGCCACGCTCGCTCTGCACTTTCATCTGCGTTTTTATCCCCGTGCAGATTAGTGCTAAATCTAAAATAAACGTCTAGGATCACAGATGCAAGGCACCCGGACGATGAAAGGCTAAGTATACACAGATTGTTCTGTTGATGGGGTGAAACTTGTACCAGTACTGAGTCACCCTCAAGTTTATATCGAAACTGAAAAACACCCAGTGTGTGTTACTGTCAATTAGTTTTCCTACCCCACACAGCGAGGTCAAAAGCCACATCTATGTTACAGATGACATCACAGTTAATTGACTCCCCGGTGGTCATAGATAATCCACTTGTTTGGGCTTTTCCAAGCAGGGTTCCCACTGGAAGGAGGGAGGAGGTGCTTGCCTCATGCTGACTGCTATGGGATGTGAGGAGGCTTGGAGAGACCTCTGTCCTCAGGGCAGTCTTCTAGAGCATTCTTACCTCCATTTTCACATTAGGCAAAAACAAAGGGTTCTGATGAGAGCTCAATAACTCACCCGAGAGTCTACAGCCAGGAACGGGAAGGTTCAAATTCTTTTCACTATGACATTGGCTGTCTACAATCTTCTTATGACAGACAAACTGAAAGAAACAGTGTGAGCTTTGCTTTGCCTACTTGGGGAATCACAGGTCCACTTTTGTCAATTTAATTCAACAAACTATTATTAAACACCTACTGGTGATGCCTGGGAGTTTCCCCAGTGACAAGAAAAGGGATGGGTACATTATCCTTATCCTTTCAGGAGCTCACAAGCTAAATGTGCACGTGTCTATGACAGCATCTACTTACATCTCTGTTCACAAAATTCTTCATGTATTGAATAAGATATGAAGAGAGATGAACCTCGAGGGGCAAATCCAGGCAGGTAAAACACTACCAACAGCTAAGACAAGGGGCTGAGTAAATGCAGGTTTTGTGTCCCACATGGTTAGTAAGCCTAAGTCAAAACTTGACTTCACTTTTCCTTGCTGGAGAAGACCAAAGACCAACATAATTCTAAAAGTTTAGGCTTCATAAAGTAAAAAGCATAGACTCTTGTAGAGTAAAATTCTCATGACAATTAATTTCCAAAGGAATAAGCCAAGGTGATGTGATTTTACATGGGATTAGGCCAATGATTGATGCCCTTGACTCTGTCCCTACTGTAAGTAGGGAGTTTCCTAAGAGTCCCTGTGGCAGAGATCAGTGAAAAAGTGAACACAGGGGACTGGGAGGCGTCTCAGTGGTTAAGAGTACTTACTGCCCTTGCAGAGGACCCAGGGTCAATGCTAAGCCCTCAAGTGGCAGCTCATAACCTACTGGAATATCAGATCCTGGGACCCTAACACCTTTTTCTGGCCTCCTTGAGCATGTATATGGTACACAAACATACATGTGGGCAAAACACCCATATGCATTTTTTAATTAAAAAATTTTAATGAAATAAATATACAACACAAAAGTCCACCCTTGGCCTCAGCAGGGAATCCACATGGCCTCAATAGTGTAACCCGTGAGAGTATGAGCCTTTGGGTACACACAAGGTTGCTTTGGGCATGAAGCTGACAGATGGGTGTAATTTCCCTGAGCCCACTGCTGAGCCTAGATCACATTAGGTTACCAGAGTGCTTACATGAATAAATAAAAGCACGAGAAAGAGAAAACAATGGTGGGAAGAGCTTGAAAGCGGGGACAGAGAAAGAATAAGAAGGAGGGTAAGGAGGCAAAGCCTGGGTGTGTTTAAGAAATCGTGACTAGTCATGAACCCCCCCCCCCATAGCAGCAGGTGACACGGTGTGAGAGGAGGGTGGAGCCGGGCACCAAGTGCCTTGAGCAGCGCCCAAAGTCATGGATGGATTCTTACACATAGAGATAAGGACTTGAGGGTAAACGACCTCATTGTGCTTCCATTCCCTTGACTTTAAGTGGTTGATCTGGTGATAAATGGCATCTTGAGATTTCTCCAGGACATGCACTCTACAATCTATGGTTTATAATAATCTATTCATCTATCAGTCCATCAATACTGATATATCTATCTTCTATCTATCAATCAATCTATCTATCTATCTATGCATCTACCTACCTATCCACCCATTTGTTTGTCTATCTATCTGTCTGTCTGTCTATCTATCTACCTACCTATCCATCCATTTG